TTTCGGGCACAAGAGTTTCTGGGTTCATCTTGTTCTTTGTCTGCCCAGCCTTGGGATCACCATTTTTCTAAGAAGTCTTGGTTTCTGAGCTTAACTTAGTTTTTAGAAGTTAAGCTCAGCAACTTACATATGCTCATTGCTGTTGGGGTGTCACTGTTTCCAGGCCCTCCCAATAGACAATGCTGGAGATTATTTACAACTCTATCTACTTTTTACTGGGTTTTTATGGAGACTTTGTTACATCGACATGGTTGATTAAATGATTTGCCATGGTTGAATGATTCAACCTCCAAGGCTTCTCTCTCAGAGGTCAGGGGTAAAGGTGTGGGTAGTGGGGAGTGGGGTCGAAGATTCCAACCCTCTAATCACTGTGGTTGGTTTTGCTGGCAAACAGCTCCCATCCTCAGGTGGATCCAAAAGTTACATCATTAACATAACGAAAGACACCTTTAACCTTCTTATCAATTAGGAAATACCAAAGTTTTAGGTTGTGTGCCAGAGACAGAATGAGGACCAAATATATATATTTCTTATTTATTTATCTTTTAACTTTTTTATTTATTTAATTTTTAAGAATTTTTATTTTTCAATTAGAGTTGACATTCAATATTGTTTTATATTAGTATCAGGCGTACAGCATAGTGGTTAGACATTTATATAATTTATGAAGTGATCCCCTCCCCCATTAGTCTAGTATACAACTGGCACTATATATAGTTATTACAATATTACTGACTATATTCCTTATGCTCTACTTTACATCTCTGTGACTATTTTGTAACTACCAATTTGTACTTTTTAATCCCTTCACAATTTCATCCCCTCAACTCTGCCCTGCACCCCCCAATCTAGCAATCACCAGTTTGTTCTCTGTATCTATAAGTCTGTTTCTGTTTTGTTTGTTTGTTTATTTTGTTCCTTTGGTTCCATATATGTGTGATATATATGTATATACATATACGTGTGTGTATATATACATATGTGTGTATGTGTATATATATATATATATATGTAAATACACACACACACACACACACACATACACAGACACCATCTTCTTTGTCCAATCATCTATTGATGGACACTTAGATTGTTTCCATATCTTGGCTATTGCAAATAGCACTGCAGTGAACATAGGGGTGCATATATCTTTTCAAATTAATGTTTTGGTTTTATCTGGATAAATACCCAGAAGTGGAATTGCTGGGTCATAAGGCAGTTCTTTTTTTTTCTGAGGAACCTCAAAACTATTTTCCATAGTGGTTGTACCAATTTGCAATTTTACCAACAGTTTATGAGGGTTCCCTTTTCTCCACATTCTTGCCAACATTTGTTTTTTGATTTATTGATGATAGTCATTCTCACAGGTGTGAGGTGATATCTTATTGTGGTTTTAATTTCCATTTCTCTGATGATTAGTGACGTTGAGCATCTTTACATATGTCTATTGGCCATCTGTATGTCCTCTTTGGAGAAATGCCTATTCAGTTTCTTTGCCCATTTTTTAAATGGATTGTTTGTTTCTTTGGTGTTGAGTTGTATGAGTTCTCTATAAATTTTAAATGTTAACCCCTTACCAGGTGTATCATTGGCAAATATCTTCTCCCATTTAGTAGATTGTCTTTTCTTTTTGTTGAAATAGTCCCGTTTGTTGATTTTTTCTTTTGTTTTCCTTGTTTGAGGAGATAGATCAGAAAAAATATTACTGAGAGCACTATCAAAAAGTTTACTGCTTATATTTTCTTCTGGGTGTTTTATGGTTTCAGGTCTTACATTTAAGTCTTTAATCCATTTTGAGTTTATTCTTGTATAACATGTAAGAAGGTGGCCCAGTTTCATTTTTTTTGCATGTATCTGTCTAGTTTTCCCAACACCATTTATTGAATAGACTTGTCTTTACCCCATTGTATATTCTTGCCACTTTGTCATAGATTAAATAACCATATTAGATGTGGATTTATTTCTGGGATCTCAGTTCTGTTCCATCGATCTATGTATCTTTTTGTGCCAGTACCATGCTGCTTTGATTACAATAGCTGTATTTCTTATTTAAATTGCACTATCACACATTCCATGTCAGGCTGTTTTCTTCGCTGCAAAGGCCCAGCTATTTCTTGCTACTGTTCAGCAGTGCCTTTCTTCTCACCCTTGTCCATCTTGATATTCTGAGCAGGGCCACCACCAAGCTCTGACTCTTCACACTCAGCTGCCTCTCTTTTTCGTCCCGACCCATGGATGCCCTCCAGTCTTTGCTCCACATCAGGCCACTGCTTTGCATGGACTCCCTCCTCCTCTGGTTTAGGCTCTGACAGACCATATGGAGAAGGATGCGGGCCTCGTCACACTCGGGCACTGACATTTTGCACACACTCTTACTTCATTAGGGATACAGCCTCTGATTTTCCATGTTCCCTCCTGCAATCTGGACACCTTTGTCACTCTGCTGGGGCTCTAACTGCCCACACTAAGTTTCTCTCTTACTTGGATAATCCTCTTCCCTTGTTCAGGCTCTAACATCCTTTTTTAGGCCACTGCAACTGCCCTCTGCACAGATATGTTTATTGTACTATGCTTCATCTAATGGTTTTAGGACTGGAAAGGAGAGGAGGAGAAGGTAAGAGGAAGGAAGAAGGAAAGGAATATGCCATCTCTTAGATTTGCTCATTAGACTTTCCACAAGGAAATGAATGCATGAGAAAGTTTAAAAGAGGCCAATTTGCTCCTTATGTGCAATAGTAACAAAAGATTTAGACAGAAAAATTTGAAGTTATTAGAAAAAGTTACATTTGACATTAAATGTCCTTTCCATTGGAGAATTAAACTTTTATTTCTCTTTAGGTGTTTCATATTTTGTTCTGATAGATGACCTCTAAATTAGACATTTAGAAATAAAAAGGCTGGGATGGATATTTGTTCTTCTCTTCCAATTTTCTTCCTTCATAGATGAGGGAATTGAACTCTGGTTAGGTCAAATGACTTTTCTAGGTTTCCCATCTCAGATGATGTAGCCAGAAAGAGAAAGAACTTCTTTCAGCATCCTGGCCAGTGTTCTTGGCATGTTCCCTTCATTATTATCATTTAAAATTATTTGACTTTTAAGATGAATTTCTGAAATAAGTATAGTTTATATGGAACATTACACCTTGTATTTTAAATTGTAGTCCTTTTCTTTAGTAATGATATTACTGATAAAATTCCATTTTTTTGCCCTAAACATTATCTGAGCAGTACTTTACTTAGTAGTACATTAGAGTGGGAGATCTAGGCATTAGCCATATTGACTAGGTAGTTTAACAACAGTAATTTAAAAAAAGAGTTTTATGGAAAGTAATCTCACAGAGTGATCTGATCATAAATTACTAAGTGGGTAGGTCATGGTGGGTGGTCAAGTCCACAGGCTTATAACTTCTTTAGTAAAAAGCTTATTTGCCTTAAGCAAACCCTGTTCATTGTTTCTGTGTATCTAAATTAACATACCTTTGAAACACCTTTTTTTAGACCTTCTTCTAAAGCATGACCACCCTCAGGAGTGCACAGAATCTTAATTCTCCTGCAATCTGATCCTGCCTTGCTTTCTCCCACTGCCACATAATCTTCCTTAGTTCCCTCCTTAATTTCAAATGCACGAAAGAAACTGCAAAACTGTTACTCTCTGGAGCATTTTAGATCTTGCCTCCCTGCAATTATCATCAGTTGTGGCTCAAATAAACTCTAATAAAAATTCTTTACAGGTTTGGACATTTCTTACAGCAAGCGACATTAGCAGTTAAGAGTTTTGAATACTCTCTTTTAATTTCATGCTTACATTATGTTAACTATATTTGGTAAAGTTGCCAAGCAGGTTAAGTATTGTTTATTTTACTGTTTTTCTGTTTATTGTCTTGTGGGGTTGATGGGTTGGCAAAATGTGCCTCCATAGACAGTACATAAATAAGAATGGCTGATAAATAAAATTTTATTTTCAAAAATCTACAATATAAAATTCGTATTATTAAAACCCATTTACATTTGTGGAAAACTCAACATCTTATCAAAGTTTCAGTTCAAGCTGGGAACGAACAACTTGGATGTAGATGAACCATAGAGAGCTTTCATTAATTTCCAAGACTTCACCTTGAGTCACTGAGTAAAAAGGAAAAATAGGTAACAAACTGTTTAAGAATCCAATAAAAATCTTGGAGTCCCATCAGCTTAATTAATGGTGACATGAACTCACTTCTGGCCCTTTGGTGAAATAATTGCCCCTTTGCACCAATATAATTCTGTAAATTAATATTAACGAATACGCAGATTTTATAATTGGAAAAGACACATCATCAAGATCATTTTGCTCATCTCCCTTCAAGCAGGAATCCTGCTAACACATATTCATGGGTTGGAATCACTGTCAATCATGTGGGAATTACTACCTCCCAAAGCAGTTTTGCCTTATATCTGCAGAAAACTTCCTCTGGGTAACTTTGTCCTGATACTGCTGCCTTCTGTTCTCTGCAGTTAGATTGTCGTGACACCCTCTCTATATAAGAGACTTTCAGTTATGTCCACCTAGATCGTCATGGTTCTGGAATTTTCTTTCTCTCTTTCTTCCACCCCTTATATCTATCTAGGTTTTTCATGGGTGATGAGATTTTTTCCCCTTCCCCATCTCCTTGCCCTCGTCTGGACTTAGTGTATCCTTTAAAATGTGCCATTTAGGGTGCTGTGAACCTACTACATGAAAGGCAAGAACACTTTGAATTCTTCTTATTGTCCTTAGCCATGTAACAGTGAATCATGGTTTCACTTTATTTCTGGACGATTATATCCACCAGACACAACCTTTGTCCCCAAACACCGCATTCGCTTTGCGCAAACTTGATGACCTCACACATAAATCGGCTTTTCTTGAACCCTCATCTGAACAAGCAAACATTCGTTTTGATCTGAGGATATCCCGTGTGGCGTCAGGAAGGGCCGGATTGGGCAGTGCTGGCTAAGGGAGCCAGCCACCACGCTACAGGTTTCATTTCCCCTTTCTCCTCCGAGTTTAAGAACTAAAACAAAAAAGCAATTCCTGCTAATCTCTTAGACAATGCAAGCGGCTCCAGACTCTATTCTAGGAAGCCAGTTTTATCAAGGTAACAAGGAGTCCACCGAGAGCAGAAAGAAGGCTAGGGACACCGACACGGAGGTGGTATTGAGGTAATAATACCCAGGGGTGAGGGTGGGGAGCCGGCTGGACTGAGGCTGGGAGTGCGCAAAACAAGCGAAGAGCAAAAGCCAGCAGCCCTGCGCCCCGGCGTGGACGCGCACGGGAGTTCAGGCTGGGGGAGTGTGTCACCACGTGCTGCGAAGGCGGGGACAGGGTCCTCCTGTTATCTGTAAAGGGTGCAGGGCAGGATCTCGGAGTTTCACAACGGACTTGCGAGAGAGAGAGAGAGAGATAGAGAGAGAGAGAGAGAGAGAGAGAGAGAGAGAGAGAGAGACTCTTTCAAGTGGACACACACAGAGGGACACCAAGAGACAGAAACAATAGAAACAAACACAGAGAGACACCAAGAGACAGAAACAAACAGGTGAAGTGAGAGGTTAGCAGGCTACCGAGTCCTTCCTACTAGCTTGCCAAGAGCAGAGATCTGGGAGAGGGAGGGTACCATTTAGACGCTCAAACCCCAGGACCCCGAAGGGTCATTTCCTGTAGCTCCTTGGGGACTGCACGTCTCACTCCTTTTAAGTTTGCTCTGAGGGACTTCAGCAAAGACAGGAAGAGGAGGTGGGGTTCCACAGCTAGTGCGGTTTTAATTCTTCTTAAGAACTGGCAGTGGTTTGGGGCTTTATATCCGGGAGGAGCATGTGTCACCACACTGTACGCAAATCCTGGAACGTCTGCAAACTCGGCTCCGGGGCAGTTGGCTCAATGCCAAACCTGGCGTTCGAGGGCTCCGGCCACGGCAGCGCTCCCGGGGCCGACCCGCGGGTGGCCCGGTGGCCTTTATCTCTGTCCTCTTTATCTCAGGCTCTACAGGAGGCCCGGGGGCCCGTTCTGCCTATCGGTCTCCACCTCCGGCTGCACGGCCACTTCGATGTCCTGCAGGTCGCGGGCTGCTGCTCTTTCGAAGGCGGTGGAGGACCAGGGGCGCCCCGCGCCAGCGCTGACTAGGACCGGCGCCGACGCCTGACCTGCGCGCCCTTGGCCACGGATGCTGGTGCGCCCAGCGCGTCCTCGTGTGCTCCAGCCCGCTTGGGGCACGCGAGGGGCAGCCCCGGCCAGGATGGCCCGGGGCCGAGCGGTGGCCGGGCTCCTGCTGCTGGTGGCCGCCAGCCTCGGAGGGGCGGCGGCGGGGCCCGGGCTTGCCTTCAGCGAGGATGTGCTAAACGTGTTCGGCACGAATCAGAGCCTGTCGGTGGCGCAGCTGGGGCGCCTGCTCCAGCAGCTGGGAGCCGCCCCCGCGGAGGGCGCCCTGCAGCCCGGGCAACTGCACTTCAACCAGGTACGGCGCCGGCCTGGCGGCCCTTCTGTGCTTTGGCTGTCGGTAGACTTCTATTTGTACATGAACGCTATTTGTGTGGGAAAAGTGTGGGAGAAAGAATTTCGTTACGTTTTTCAAGTATGAGGCGGTAACTGATTGGTGGCACTTGATTTTTACTAGACCGGGCTCCTTAGCTGGGGTTAAAGAGCTGATGGCGTTGAGGGAGCTAAAAATTGCCTGATGAGCTGAGTGGTCAGACACGAGTGGTTATAAGATTTTATATAAAAGTTTATCAAGTGTTTGAGCGCGGGAAGCACCTTAAGAGATGCTTTTTAGGTAGGAATGGCATACTTAAATCTTCCCAGCAAAGTTAGTGGCTCGCACGCCGCACTTGTTAACAGTTCCTCCGTGATTACAACTGCCAATGAGATATAATGTAGTTCCGTCTTTCCTGTGTACGTTACATGAAGCATTTAGACCTGAAGGGACTTATTGTACAGAGAGCAATTAAGGTCAGTAAACTTAAAAAAAAAAAAAAAAGGATGATACAGATTCCTAGTTATTTACATAGTTCATATTCTATGATTATTTCTTAAAACTGTGAAGTGGACAAAGTGTGCTTTCCACATCTTCCCCAAAACTCCCTCCCCACTTTTAAAAAACTTTGTTCACTCAGTGCCCTGATTTTGTCCCCTTATGCTCTTGTTCCAGCGACAACTAATGATGAATAGCAGTATGCAGTATTTTCCATATTGTTCGTCTCTTCTGGGCGATGTTAATTTATGTTACAAAAAATTTTTGCAGTCCAAGATGTTTGAGAAATGCTCTATACTATTCTCTACTTTTGGGAATTTAGCATTTCCCAATGTATCTGACCTTAAATGACAGGGAAATTTTAATCAGATGAGCTGCTTGCTAAAAACATTATAAATAGGTTGGCATACTTTGTGTTAGATGTATCTTACCTGGGTTGAAACACACGCTACTCAAGAAGTAGAACTTTCTGATGCCATGGGGTATCAGAGCGTGACTTCCCTTTGAAAGGTTTTGGGGTCCACATATTCATGTTCTTTAGTAAACTATAGTTCCAGCTCTGGCATGGTTTAATTAATCATTTAGTTTAATGTCTAAGAAATGATACGTTGGAAAAACCAAAATTCCCACATATTATATCAATATTTTGGAAAATAAAACAACTTTCTAAGCATTTCCTGTCAAGTTGCAGTCTCTTCAAGTAGGAGGAACAGTTGAGCTGACTAAAGTATTTCTAGGTAGGAGTAGGGGTGGTCATATGCTTGGAAAGACGTTTGAAGACTTGACTTGCAGCTGCATATCTATAGCCCACACATTGTTTTGACTTAAATTATCTCCTTATCTTGCAGTGTCAAGAGGTGTTTAAAAATCATAAAGGAACAAAAGATCCCTGAGCCACCCCTAGGCAAAGGCACTGGAAAATATGCCTAAATAATTTAGGAAAATTGGTTAAGTTTATTAGCAATTTGATTCCCAGTTTATGAGTAAGTAGGATACCTCAACAGATAAATTATATCTATTTATATGTTGACACCTTGTTTCTGATTCTCTTGTTTGCGTGTTTAACTACCTTCATTATGGCCTCTGTGGGCATCAAAAAGACGAGAAGCCCGTAATTACTTTGGAAACAAAGGGAAACCAAGGAAAATTTATCACTTAATCAGTCCTAACAAACAATTATTTGATGTTCTAAAAAGTCCTGATGAAAACAGTCATCAAACAAAATGATGACAAAGGAACTACCATTCCAGAAGAATCTATTAATTTGCTAGTATTCATATCTGCTCCAGCAGAAAACCATCCCATTTGAAGGAAAATTTAGGACCATTAATATCTCCATACTTTAAAGAATACAACTCGAGTTTCCTCACCTGTAAAAAAGTGGAATAAATAACGTATGGGCCTACTGTGAGAAGCTTGATTTTCTGGCTTTGAAAAAGATTGAGAAAATAGAATGTATTTTTGTGGACCAGGGATTTATTGAATCTTTTGTGAGATCTGTTTACAAATGACCTTGTTCCCTTGGATGAGGTCTGTGATATTTCTTAAGTCAGCTTTTCTCAAGTCATAGACTACTATCCTCTGGAGGTTGGTTAGACATTTTGGAAGGTTTTCTAATATTTTTTTTCAGTATCCCTGAGTACTATTAAATTAACTTGTTGTTTTGAGAGACCAAAGTGACCTGAGTTCAAACTGGTGACAATAGAACAAGTGATTTTATTATTTTGCTTCTTATGGTTACTGAGGGTACAAAGAGCAGGTAGAAGAGATGACTCAAACAGTGAGAGGGTTGAGCTCTTTTAGTTCAGTGGGTCTTGCACATGACTTGGTGTAAATCTGATATGTGGCAAGGAGTTCCTAGAGTACATAGGGAAACTCCAACTGAATGCATACTTTGAGTGATTAATTTAGGGGATTTAAAAATGGCTTCAGTGCTACTTTTTGTTTATTCGGATATTTCTTTCTCATTCTCCAAATGTTCTTTTCTCTTTACATCCTTTTTAAAAACACCTTACCTCCAAGTTCTTATTGCAGACACTGATTAAATAGGTTGATAAAAAAAAAAATAGATCCTCATTCTGCAAATTATCACACTAAGCTGATTCAAAAAATCAGTCTCCCAGTCTAGGTTAGTGGGGGTGCTGGAGGTGTGGGAGTGGGTATGGTAGGTTGGCCTTTGAGTCAACCTTTGTTTCACACCATCACTCAACCTTACACCTTGCTTCTTTCTCTTAACTCTCTTTTTTCTTTTGATGTGTATATTGCAGCATATTTCCTGCACCTTTTTATTTTCCCTTTCACGTTTCTATCACCTGCTTGCCTGACCTTGTTTGTAAACCTCTTCTCGTAATTCATATTCAACCTAAAGCAATACTTGGAGTATGCCTATCTTCTTTCAAAACGCCTCCAGGAACTGTCTCTTGGTTGGTGAAGTCTAAACCTCCAGCCTGGCATTCAAGGCACTGCTTGCATCTCAAGTTTGACCCCGAGAAGTCAACCTATTTTTCCAGACCTAGCACTCATGAAACTAAATTATTTACTCTTCTGTGAATTCACTTTATACTTTTGTTCAACCACTTCTTGGCTTATTACACCCTGCCTTTTTCCAACTGGAATGACCTTCTTTTCCTCGAATTGCCCTATCAAAATCCTACATTTTAAAATGCCCAGTTAAACTCCTTCATAAAACCTCTTTAGGGCATCACAGCCAGCACTGTTATGCTGTTTTCTTTCTTTTTTGAATTCTTGAAATATTTTTTATTATGCTAATGATACTTAACTGTTTATGCATTCAACAAATATTTTGAATGACTACTGTGCTCTTAATTAGAGTGGCCATTTTAAAGACAAATCTGATCATATCACTCATCTCATAAAAACAATTACATTCCTTCAGGATAAACTTCAAACACTTTAGTGTGGCTTAAGCCCTTTTATAATCTGGTTCCCATATTTCTCAAGCCTTATCCTTTGCCACTAGTCCAGTCTTAACGGACTGCCCATAGTTCCTGGTTTTCCACCTACACCTGCTTACGTTTCAGGTATTGGCTTAGTTACTACTTTTTCTGAGGAGCCTTTCTTGATGTGCTCAAGGGTTTATTAGGATCCCCTTCTAGGTTATCCTATATGATCTGATGCCTGTGCAATCCTAACATTATACATTGCAATTATATTATAATATGTAATATAATATGTAATATAATTTTCCGTTTCTATGCCTGCAACCTCCTCCCTTCCTTAGCATCCTCCCCCCAATTTTAAACAAACTGAAAGGAATCACTTGACTTATCTCTCCATGGGCTAGTGTAGTGCCTGGTACGTAACATGTATTCATTATGTATTTTTTGAATGAGTGAGTGAAGCTTATTTAATATGAGAAAGATAATATGGGCCCTCACATAACTTTACAGTTTATTGGGAGAGATATGACATATGCATCTGTAACTATAATGCATGCTAGAATGATATTTTTAATTAAAGAATTATAAATGAAAGTAGAACAAAATCAGATTTGTGTTTTTAGAAAATTCATCTTCATGAGACTACGGAAAGTGTTGGAGTGGGTCAGGACAGGAGTTAAGGAGGAAACTGAAGTGGTTTGCATAAAATATAATGATTGCTCGAACCTAGAGACAGTCTGGAGGTAGCATCGGCTCTGCCTCCTTTTGGAAGAGTAAGCGTTGCTGAAGAGTAGGCAAAAAAGCTCCAAAGATAAACATTTTTTGCTCTAATCTTTTGCCTGTTGTGGTGACTTATTGGTTTCTGACCCAATGATGCCAGAGGGAGAGGCAGAGAGGTACCTCTTGGTTTGCCTTAATGGATGACCAGGCTAATGGTGTGTAGAAAACAGAAGTGTGTGAGTGTGTGTGTGTAGTCATTACATACACACTGTATGCATAACTTGTTTTCATCTACTGTGTTTTTTCCTGGGGTGAGGGTAATGGTAAATTAGATGATGGAGGTTCTGGGAAGCTCTGACGGAAAAGAGAAAGAGCACCTGGTTGTTTTTTGTTTTTTTAACCTTTATGTTCTGAGAAATGGTGGGGGTTTACTTTCTATGAATGCCTTTCAGCCTTGTTCAGATGAGAAACTGGAAAAGTGGACAGAAAGGCAGGACAGAAGAGCAAGGTTGCCCTTAGGTCTCTGGTCATTTTTTCTCCAAGACAATGGACCTATTCTGATCTATTATTATCACTCTCATTTAATTTGACTGTGTACAGTGCGATCATTGTTTTCAAGGGTTTGGAGAAAATAAGGGATTTTCATAATTCATTTGACCATGATGTTGTTCGATGGTGGAGCAAAGGTGTAATAGCCACCATAGCGAGAAGGTACCTTCAGATCAAAGTTGCCAGGCAAAGCAGGCAACTCTGTAGAATATAACAGAATTGATTATAGGGTAATTTATTTACGGGAAGATTGGATCAGAAGGGAAAAAAACGACCTAGTAGTCTGAGTAGATTATTCTCTGCTAACAGACCCTTGAT